CCACTCGACTGTTTACCATTGAGCGATATGGTGACGACTTCTGGGAAGCAGCAGCTACTCACTGCCCGCTTCTTGAAAGGTTCGCAATCCGGAACTGTTCCAATTTTGCGATAAATTCGATGAAGGTTATAAACACCTTCACGGACACAGCACTTCTCAAGCTGAGTGGTTTGAAGTATTTTGCCTTGACAGAGAGCAACGTGCCTGTTATGTGCACGGGAGATGAAGTCTTCGAGTACATGCGTCGTGTGATAGCGGAGAGTCGGTGTACTGGTAAGTCGCTCGAGCTTGATCTTCGCATCGGTGGCCTCCAGAATGGCCACCCAAGGCTTTACTCTGTCGCAGTGGAGCTGTTACGTCGCCTAGCGGCTATAAGCGAGTCGGAATATGGGGCAGCATCAAGGCGTCAAAAGTATGAAGTGTACCTCGTAAATCCATATCGCAATCGAGCGAACAGGCAGTGGAGCTCGACGTACATGCGTCATGAGCTAAGACCTTTGATGGAGCGTGTGAAAGATGCATCCATCACTTCATGTAAGTGCCTCAATGACTGGAAAAAGAGGAGATGGCTTCGCCAAGTTCGACGTGCTTATTCTCAGCTGGAGTTCGGAGCACTTCAACGACGATATGTTCTCGTACACGGTCGATGAAGGCGACCCCTATGATGACCCCCACAACGACTTCCCTCTGTGTCGCGCCAATCTTCTCATTGTGCTGTTCGAGTAAAGGCTCTGGTGCACTTGGACCAGCTCATCGCAAAAAATACTGCGATTCTTCGGGAGTCGCAGCGGCTCTGTACCCTTCAGCTTCGCTTCAACTTGCAACAGTTCCTCCAAATTCGACGGCCTAATGGACCCGTGGATGTGTGCGTGCAGCTCCACCTTGGGCAGCGCCAAGGCCAGCAACGCGATTCAGATAAGTAGTGGATTGTCATTCGATTTATAAAAATATAGTGACAAATTGTCACATGCTACATGTGAAGGTCAGAATTGACTGGCCAAAACGACTACCATAATATGGTAGTTATTTTGGCCAGTCAATTATTAATATATAATAAGATATTATCTTGGATTCGCAGTCCTCAGGCGTGAAAATATATATTGTGTTTTGGCTAATTAGGTTGGGCAGCAATGTTGCTGGGACTATGCTAGAGGCTGACGAGCTCGAAGTTATCGTGCGGGAGCAAGTTTGCATTCCTGGCATGGAGCTGTGTAGTGCGATAAAAATAGTGGCTCCAGCTGAAAAACTTCGTGGGCACCAGTGCTGACAGATATTGTGTGATTCCGAGAAAAAAATAAACATCCGCCCACTTTTGGTCAAGTTGTCGTGATTTTCGCTGCTGACATCATCGACGTTAACAGCATTATTGCTGCAGCGAGACGGCATACGTGCAAGTACGTTTCTGCTTATGCTAAATTACATTAAATGTTGTCTCTTCCGGGACTGGTATGATCAAATGCCCTGATATTGACGATATAATCACTAGTCATCGGTAACCTACTGCGCGTTCGCCAGCACGCATCCAGCGCGCCACAACATAATTTGATCTGGACAGAAGACATGGGGAGCTGGACGAAGGTCGACCACAAACGCGGTCTCACCAAGAAAGCGAACGATCGCCCTGACATGACGCAGGAAGAGATGGCAGCCTGGGCCAAAGTCACGTACAGATTAAAGCGGTCGCTTGCTTAGACTACGATCTCCGATATACGTAAGAGCGCTACCAGGATCATGAGCGAGGCGTATGGTGATGGTTAGCGGCGTAAACCACCGCGAGCAGTCTTATTGAGGCTAGAAGCCCAGCTGTGGGAGTGGATTCAAAAGGTTGAAGCTCAGTGCGTATGTCTTTCACGGGAATTGATCAAAATGAACGCTCGTGATATTCAAAGAAAGCTATGTAATGCATGGGACCTGACTTTGCGAGCGGATGTATCAGTGCGGTCACGCAAAGGCATCGGCTACGCTCAAGACAACTTCCTGGAGAAGCGGCATCTGCTGACCCTGTATCTGTTGCTCTCGGGTGCCAGCAGCTGCAATACATTATCGATCTCTACGAGCCTATAAATATCTACAACATGGACGAAATAAGGCTCTGCTACGCAATGACGCCCGCTCGCTCCACCTGTACTAAATCGGCGCGAGGTACGAAAAAGGACAAGACGAAGATCACTGTCTCTCTCACGGCAAACGCGGATGGCTCGTGGCGCCTTTTTAGGTCGTGCGAAGCAGCCATACTGATTCAAAAACGCCTTGTAAAAGAACTTGGATTTAGTTACCGGTCGAATGCTAAGGCCTAGATGACGGGGGTAATATTCCGAGAGTGGTTGTTGATTTGGATCGGGAAATGCAATTGTGTGGTCGCCATACTCTCCTTCTTTTAGACAATGCCTCTTCCCACAAGCTCGACGTCGTCGTTACACTAACCTATGCGTAGAGTTATTGCCGCCAAACAAACGCTGGCATTATGCCGTCTTTGAAGAAAGCGTATAGAAGAAAACAACTGCAGTGTATTTATGACAAGATCAAGAACGGTCATTACATTAATAAGAAGGCATATGCTGTAGACCAGTTGCAAGCGATGCAACGGAGTAAGAATATTTGGCAAGAATTACAAGGTAAGTCTACGACCCAGAAGTGCTTCCGATATAATTTTTATAGGCGTAGACGAAAGGTGCAAGACCTTTCAGCTCTCCAGCTACAGAGATGATTTTGATGTATTAATAGAGGACATTTTAATCCGCGCTGGTAGGTTGACACTGTAAAACCCTTCCAAATACTATGTCAAATCCTATGATAGGGGCGGACAACGATACCAGAAGTGAGATAATTTACTGTAACCGACACCAAAGTATATGGCATGTGCAATTCTGAGACGATTGTCACGAAGTGAAATTGATCAATTAATGTAATGAATGTCTTTTGCTTATTTTAGCATGGCATATCAGGCGAGAAATGGTCGGGCTCCGGAGGTCAGACAAAAAAATAAACTCCTTTAATCTGCTTGTACACCATACGATAGTATAACTATCTATTAAGTTGCGGTTTAAGGACGAAGCTGGTGCGTACGCTTAGTTAAATATTATATTAATATATAGATGGGTAGTCAGTCTACCGCGTAGGAAGGGTAGATATATAGGCGAAGATCCGTATGGCGTTAACCCTTTAGCTACTGAGTTGCATAAAGGTCCTCAGAGACCTGTAACGCGGTTCAACGTGCACTCTGATTGGACAGAGGTCGCCGAGGAGGCTAGGTTGAGGGCGTTGCAGTCAATTACAGGTCGTAGTGGACCTATACCAGAGCCATTCATGATCAGTTCAAATCAGCATATGGCTGCAGTATAAGACCCACAAAGGTTTCTCCCATTTCCAGACTTGCGAGCAGCGATGATAGACGACGATGTCGTCGGCGACTGGGAGGTACAGAGCGACCACGACAGCCTCGAGCACCAGGACGGCGACTCAAACCTGCAGCCCAGCGACGGCGACACTTCAGACGATGGCCTACAGCTGGAATTGCCGCTCAGCCGCGGCAGCGCTGATGATCCTCCCCCACAGCCCGTGTATCTGCCTTCCACTGGACTACCAGTTGCACCAACGTCGGCGACGTTCGCTGACAACGAGTACCTTGCATCAATTCAGGAAGGGAGTGGGCTACACTTGGCAACAGAGGCTAGAATCAAGCAAGCATTCGACAAGGACGGCTCGTACGGGCTGTTCGCGCTGTTTGTCACTGGAGCACTGCGTCAGAGCATTCGGGGGTGGACCTCGACGAGGTTAGAGGCTGGAGGAAAGAAGCCATTGACTGAAAGCGAGCTCAACGCCTACCTTGGGCTTGAGATTGCTATGAGCATCTGCCCGCTCAACGACATAGCTGACTATTGGTCAGGTGAGCGATTCCTCGGGCAACCAGCCTTCATCGAGACCATGACGCGCGATCGTTTTCAACATATTCGAAGTGCATTGCAGTTTCATGCGCCGGGGCCAGTGACGTTTGCAACGGTGCGCGACCCGCTTTATCGCTGCAGAGGACTGCTGCATCATTTTCAAAAGCGGTTTGCTGAGACTGCAGTTCCTTTGGGAGCAAGTAGCCTTGACGAAATCTCTGTTCGAACCAAAGCGCGCTCACGCGCAAGGACGTACATGCCCTCGAAGCCAGATAAGTATGGCCTTCGATTCTATGCAGTTGTCGGGTGGGGCTCACTGTATGTCCACGCGCTGTGGGACAACGGATCCGGCAATGTTACAAGATCTACACCTGCCGCGATATACTCAAGTATTCCCGTCACTTCGCACTCCGCTGTACAACACATTGTCTCGACCTGAAGTAAACATCGATCCTAAATCAGCAACGGCTCTGTGGATAGCAATGGCCGGCCATCAAACAAGGACTTTCCGATCACCTAGTGGTCGTCGGCTACTGGTGTCAGACAATTTCTATACTCGACACACTTACGCACGCGCCGTCGAAGCATTCACGGACGGTGAAGTGAGGCTGCTTGGCACTGTGCGCATGAATCTTGTGGACAGATTCAACAAGTTTGCACTCGAGCCGGTTGTAGAGCGCATCGCTGAGCAGGAGCGCGGTGCATGGGAACTTGTTGCAGCTGTCGATCCCGAGAGTGACTACAAAAAGAACGCTGCTGCGCACGACAAGAAGCAGAAGCGACGGCCGAAGCATTTGCAAACTGAGTACATGCCCACGCTCACGTATGCCGAACACGCTGGTTATATAGTTTTCAAGGACCGAAAGGTTGTTGTATTTTACACGAACGACTTGAAGGCGACAATGACATCTAGCTCGCTGCCCTCGACTTCGACGGAAGCAGTGTACTGTTGCCATGGAACGGTGCCAATAATGCGTTGGACAGGAGACACTATCATGCACCGCAAAGCGCTCGTCGCGCCGGCATTGATTGCAGCATACAATTTGTGTATGAATGGAGTAGACCGCGTCGATCAACTACGCAGTACGAATCCTACCCGCCGTCGCGAGAAACGCCTGCACATGTCGGTCTTCACGTGGCTTCTGGATCTATCGACCATCAACGCTTTTGCGTTACAGCGCTGTATCACAGGAACGACATCGGCCTCCATGTCATTGCGTCAATTCAAACGCAGAATTGCAGATGCACTATCACGAAACGAAAAAGCTATCAGACAGCAGCGAGATCGACGTCAGCAAAAACGAAATACGAGTACTCTAGATGAAGCTGTTGGCTGCGACGTCTCACAGCATATCATCACTCCAAACTCAACAAACCATAGCAACGGGAAACTTACATGCTACTTGTGTAGCCTTCGTGGAATTGTTCCCTCAAAAAAGGCAAGATATGGCTGCACCAAATGTGAGCGAGGGTTTCACGTAGAATGCTTCAGTGCTTTTCATTACGAGGGTGTGTTGAGTACTGAAGAACCTCAACTACAAGACGCATTGGAAGCTATTGCTCGCGCTCCAACACGTGATCCTGTTGCTTTCACGAGAAAACGTAGGAACAAAACGATAACACCAGTTAGCGAGCTGAAGCTGCCGCAAAAAGAGTAACAAAATATCCAATACATTCTCCTTACTTTGTCGGGCCAAATTTGTTGGAGCTTCTTGGCCGCGCACGCGGGAGCACGCCATGCATCCTTCCAGTCTGGAGATAGATGAGCACGCGGCCAAGTGTCTTGCGCAAAGACTTGTTCCGCCGTCGACGAGAGGGTCTGTCGTGCATTCGGTTTGCTGTCTTCCTAAGTGCCGCTTCGTACACGTTCCACACGCATGGTGTCAGGCCACACCAACCGCACAGCTCGTCACTGCAAGAGGGGGTCATCTTGATTCTTCGAGTAGCAAATCCCACAATTGCCTCGATAGGCTAATGGAGGTTTTCGGAGGTGTGTGGGAGAGGTTTCATTGGTTTAAATTTTCAAAACCTGCGCTGTGGTTGGCTGTGGTATGTGTTCATTCAGACCTCTACTGTTGAGCTCGTAGCTAAAGGGTTAAGCTTACCCTTTCGGGTCTATTCCTAATAAGAAGTCCTAATCAAATTTACAAATATCAAGTGAACAATGATCCGTTATGGATCTTCTTGCATGCCAAGCGTCATCTGCACCGTCGTATGAGCATCTTTAACGGTCCGCGCCCTGTCCCAGACGATGAACGTGTCTTCCAAAGGTCGCTGAGTATTCCGCGAACTCATCCCAACCGCCACTGAGGGTTCGTACCGTAGATGGGCCGCTGAATGCGAATCCGGCCAGTCCATTATTAATAATAAGGACAGCCTGGATTCAGTGACATAGGGCCGTATCCGATACTTGTTGAAAACTCGGGAGTGACGCCGTCGAGTCCCTTGCACCTTGGCGTCTCCGTACATCACATGACCGAGGGTTCGTTGCTTGAACATCTTGGGCGGTGTCACGTCTTTGTCGACGGGTGATAATCCGCAACTACGGAGAAATCACTACACCACAGAACATTCACTAGCCCCGTCGACACCTATGAAGCAGCGGCTTCAGTCATTAATTCATCAGCTTGTCCCACTGGGTCGGCTTGAGCAGGTACTGCAGCAGGTTCAGTTTCCGAGAGACTTAGTTGCCTTGACACTGGAGTGGCCACTTCCTCACGCGTTGGCGGATGGTCAGGGAGGAGAAAAGGGTCCGGTGGATCGAATGATGCTCGACTTGGCGGACAATATGGAGATTGTGACGGGGTCACACAGCACCTTGCGCTAGAGGAAGTTATCTTCCGAGAGTATACAAACTCTCAGTGAACGGCAGCTCACAGGTCCCCTCTTTAATTAAAGAGAGCGAAGTGACCTAAATAAGGTAGATTGTAAACTGAGTATATTTATAGGTAGGTTAAGTTTGGGCTTAATACAAACTATTAGTTACCTATAGAAATGCAATGTCATTTAACCAATGGTTGGCTTTGAACGACCTTGGTACCTTGTACCAAATATCCCGGAGTATGACGTGTCATACTCCTGAAGTGTGAAGTGTCACACTTCATGTAACCAGGGTACACTTAGGGCTACGTACCCCGTTACATCCTCCCCCACTTAGGTTCGGTTTACCGACCAATCAGAATGAAGAGGTGTTCGTCACAAACTCTCATTCTCAAAGTCGAAAACCATCGACTTGGCCGCGCGAGCGCGGCGGAGGCTCACTTCACAGTTAGAGCCTCGAGCAGCAACCTGTGCGCTCTTCGTCTAGGTCTCCACTTCGACCGTTATCATGCCTCGTGGCACTGCTAAGAGCGGTGCTAAGACACGCTCCAAGGCTGCTGCCGGTAAGGCGCAAGCCAAGAGCACTAAGCCTCACGGCAAAGGCTCTGCACTTAAGGAGGCTACTCAGGTGGCCTCCGAGGCGATCGGATCCTCGGGTGACGCGGCTGTGGAAGCAGGCGCCACAGTCCGTCGCCCTCGTCTTCAGACAATCGTCCGAACCCTCGGTTCGTAGAAAGTGAGTTCAACTCGGGCAGTGAAGACGATGCCGAGTCTCATGATGCTCCTGCGGGCTCTGTGGGAGGGTACAGCCCAGTGCCCAGTGAGCACAAAGATGACAGCTTGCAGTCGCCCGCTAGTGATCACGGTGATTACAGTCCCAGGCCCTCTGTGCGCTCTGAGAGTCCGGCCGTTAAGGCTAAGGGCGAATCCAAAGCCGGTGGCGATGAGGAAGAGAATCCTCGCAAACGTCTCTCGCTTGCCGAGGGTCTTGCGCGCGCTAAGGCCTCTAAAGCCGAAGGCGCCAAGACCTCAAAGAAGCGTACCGCCTCTAAGTCTCCACTCCGCGAGGAGAAGGAGACTCGACGCTGCTATCAGAGTCTCTTCGGCTCCTCGGATGAAGTGGAGGAGAAGGAGGAAGAAGAGGAAGAGGAGGGTGCTATTGTTGAGCCCCGGGAGGTCTCGAATGACCTCGACCAGCAGCAGGAGGATTTCCAAGCTGCCCAGCGTGTGCGTGGGGGTTCGGTGGCGGCACCCGTCAGCCAGGGAGCTGCCATCAACTCAA